CTTTTTCCCAATTATTTTTTAATATATTGGGCATCCAACTGTTGACTTCCCTCCACCAAAACCCCCTCCCTTTAAGTCTTCCTTTCCTGTCTTTTAAACAGTTGTTTGTCCACGTGATGATGTTCCCCCTTTTCCCATAGCAACTTTTTTTCTTTAAGTGCCTTCAGCAAAGTCATGATCAAGTGCATTTTGGAAGTTCAAGCAGACTGTACCAACCAAATCCCCTTTATCCCCTGCTTGTTGAGGCCATTAAAAAAACTCCAACAAGGTTTCGAAGCACAACTTCCCCGTACAAAAACTGCATTGACTCCTCCCCAATATTTAGCCATTGATGATGCATCATAGCATCTATGAATTTGCTAAGTGCAAGTGCTACATTCACCTGGCTGTAGTTTGCCACATCTGCCCTGAAACTCATTTCAGAAACTGTTGTCACATTTGCCAGGGGTACTGAGGGAAGAGGTTACTATGCCAGCTGGTAGCTCAGCTTATTCGTCCTTAGAGCCCGTAGGTGGCACCATCTGGGCCTGGCAACTTGTTACTGCTCATTTCATCTGAACTTTAATCTCTCCTAATAGCACTTCAGTTTTAAACAGATTCTCTGTTGAGCTCTCCATATGGAAGTATTCCTGTGTGAACTCCCCCAGCTCTTTCACAGTGAATACATGCAAACAATTCACTTGGTTTTTTTCTGCTGGGACTCTACCTTCAGGTCAGACCTTCCCTTTACTGTGCATCAGGGCTACTGACTCTGGCAGCCTCCCTGCTCCTGAATTTTTCAAAATTATTTGTGCAAGTTTTCTGACTTGAATGTTCTTCATACTCCATCTTCCTTTGCATTATTTTGCAGTTTGGTTTTTTGTTTCTTTTTTTCCACATTTCACCTGCCAAATCTTACTCTTCCCATCTTCTAGATTTGGACACAAGTTCATTATATAAAGGATTTCTTACTCTGCAAGCATCCCACATGCTGCTGTTTAATCACACCAACCTCCTTTTGGCCTCTCTCAATTCTGTTTTGATGGGTGGTAAACATTTGCTCCTGGCCCCAATCTGGTGTCTTACACTGTCTCCATGCCACCTCCAAGCATTTAAGTCTTTTAGTTGCCCCTTTTACCTTCACCAGTTTCATTTAAAATTAAATCACCACCACAGAGGAAAACTTGAAAGTATAATCCTATGGGTGTATTAAAGGCTCAAATATCAAAAGGTAAACACTGATCCCTGCAATACATTATATTTCAGATTTTGTGTTCCTTAAGCCAGCCATGATTTTTATCAGTTTGAATTGTGACTTTTGAATGGTTGGGATTGGTATTACCACCTCACTTTTATATGGAGTACCTGGGGGGGGAAGTAACATTTCACAGTCTGCTTACATGGTGTGTGCACTCCTCTGTTACAGCCAGCATCAGTAATGCTGCAGGTTCCTGACATGAGCTGGATTTGCCACTTTGCAACTGTGACAGAAATCTTCCTCCAGACTTTCCTCAAAGTGTTTAGAAGCCCATGGGGTCCTCCTGGAACTGGCTTACACCAGACGGATGTTCACCCACTCCTGGTGATTCAAGATCAGCCAGCGTGACCCACCAGCAGGAACTCTTTCACAAGATGCCACGTGCATTCACAAAGACACAGCAGCACAGCTGGTGGCAAAGCCAAGCCAGCAGGACTGCACTGGCCTGAACAGCCAAATTCTGTCTCCCAAAAGCACATGAATCAGCAGATCCTCAAGCAGCTTGACAGGCATCACAGCTTAGAGATAGATGGCTGTACAACAGGCTGTGGAAGTGCAGAATACCCTGATCCCAACCCACTGCACTCATTCTCTCTCTCTCTCCATACTCCTCATAGCCCAGCAAGTCTTTTCTCCCAGAAGTCTTTTTGAGTTTTGAGCTCCTCTTCCAAACAAATGCTCCTGCCTAGGAAACCTGACTCATTAAGCCTTGTTTTGGTCCACAGGTGAATCAGGGGTGTGTGCAAACAAAGAGTACTCCATGCTTCAGAGAACCAAGAAATTAAGACATAGATGCAGGATTTTTTTTTCTTCCTCCCTGCAGGAAACACCTTAGATGGACAGCATCTCTATCAGGCTAAGTCCTTGAAAAGTCAGTTCATTTAGCAGTACTGCACAGGCTCGCTGCAAGTGACCATGTACTCTAACCCTGTGCTTTTCTAGATACTTGCCTGTATGAGGACATCCATGTCAGCCTGGTTTCCTTAAGAGGGGAAAGGAGGTCCTTTACAAGAGAACTTCATCCTCTGAAAAACCATATAGGCTATATGAAGCAGAGCTGCCACATTCACGTTTAACTGGTTCCTTTCTGACACACCTTACAAAAAGGGAAGATATCTGGAAGTTACAAAGATCTTCTTGCCAGAATTGTTGATCACACAACTCCCCACACCAATCAGGAAAAACTGTTCACAGGCAGTTACATGCTTACTGCAGTCCCCTTGGGACCTTTCTAGAAGTCAAAATCCTTGTAGCCACTTCCCTCCTCTGGCATAAGGACAGTCTGGAGTCAAAGATTACAGACTAAAGTCAGTGTCTGTGTTATTTCACCAAGCCCTTTCAGGATGTCCAGGCAACTTGTTACTTTTCATTCAGTTGATGGTCTAACAGACCCCTAACTTAGTGGGCATCTTCCCTCCTCACCTGCATCACCCCTTCCTTCCATCCCCTTCCCTCCCCATTCACTGGTATCAGGATTGCCCTAAGAACCCACCATCCTATTTTTGCAGGCGCTTTAGCTCGAGTCTCACCCTTCCTTCAGTCCTTCATCTGCTGCTCAAGAGGAACCTACCCGTTGCCCCATCAGGGCTTCCTCCACAGTCTGTCTTTGTCCTCATTTCTCCTTGCAGCAATACTACAAACATTAGGACTAATGATGACCATTTTCCCTGCTTGGTGCTGCAAAAGTGTTTAAATGTGTTTAAAAGTGTTTAAATGCTCTAAGACTGCACTTCAGTTTACTGGTAATACAACAGAAAATTGACATGACAAATAGCAGCCTTTTAAAGGAGCCAAAGAAAAAAAAGTCAATACTTCTGCCCTTTTCAATGGAGTACCTCGAAAAAAAAAAATCCTTATGTCCCATTTTATATTCAGCAAAAACTGTACAATTCATTTAAAGCAAAATGAATGTTTCCTTAAAAAAAAAAGTTATCACCCATTACAGGAAAATTTCATTAGGTCCTGATTGACTTCTTCATACTTAAGGGCATTTTAGGCTGCCTATACAGAAAAGTTACAGTATAACCATGAACTAAGAGTTGCAACTTGACAGTGTGCCTACGAAGTGAACTTCCAGCAGGAAGCTTCAGAAGTTCTTTGTTACTTCCCAAGATGCTTAAAGCCAAAGTACAAAAACCCACCCAAATACTAATAATTAAGAACTTCCTGTGCAGGTATTAGAAACATAATATAATATTGGAAGTCCACAGCAGTTCAATTTTTCTAACAAACTGAATACAAGCAAGACCAACATTGCAACATGAAGTGGCAAAGTGAATCCTGATTGAAAAATTAAATTCTTACTGGCTTTTACAAAAAAAAATTCAAATATCTATTTGACTAAGCACTCCGAGAAAGGCTCTGCATTAAGCATTCAGCAGCTCACATCCTTCTACTGTGAAGTTAGACTAACACCTGGCACTAAATTATCCATTGAGTTCTTCAGGAAACTCAGTTGATATTCCTTGTATTTCTAAGGCAAAAATGAAAAAGAAAAAACTTTCAGATTATACATGACAAAAATGTTTGAAAACAGGCGTGTACTCTGCAAGTCAAATCCTCCTCCCATATTTTTACTCATTAATACATTAAAAAAATCAAAAAGTGATTCTTGGATTAATGGCATCTCTTTAAAAAATGAATAAATAACTCAAATTACCAAATAGTAGATCATTTAAACCTATCTGCACATCACTATAGTATTTGCTACGCTTACGGGGAAGCCACAAGGGCAACCACATCCACACACAGCTGGCTACCTGAGCTTCCCTACAACTACTTTATATACAAAGGTTTCATAACAAGAAAGCTAATTCAGCTTTCTAAAAATACTCGTTGCTTAAATCAGAATCTCCAGCAGCCCTTCTCTGAAGGCAGCGACACGCTATAGCTTGCCTGTAATGCACAGATCCCAGATGGTCCCCTACACTCCGCTCCAGTTTCTGGTGCACTGGTTCCTACTGAGTAGGTATTTCCAACGTCCAAGTGTGACTGTGCTCTGAAAGCAGCTGGAAGGGAAGGGGAGAAAGCTAGAGAGTAGACAATGATTCATTCCAACCTTTACTTTGTTTGCCTTTTTTTTTTTTTTTTTTTTTTTTAAATATAAGCAAACCAGGCTATTTTTCAGGGCTTCTATAAGCTTTGTTTGCATTTTCTGTATGAATATTACTGGCTTATCTCTTTAGTTGGCCAGCACAGCTTAGTGGTGGTGTCAGCTGTAGGTGGAGTTT